CCCCCAGATATCTCAAGCAGTGGCACGAACATCATCAAATATTGATAAATCAATGGGCCACTGTGAGGGAAGCAGCGCAGAGCATGTTGCATGAAAACAGCCTTAAGGAGCAGAGAAAAAAATATTAGCTAAAAATAAAATTAATCTCTTGCAAAGCTCTCAGATTTGCTTCTCACCCCTCCCCCCCCTGCGCTGCAATCTTTTATGTCATTTTCTGTAATTACAGCTGGTTTAGATCTCGCTGCCTGGAGAAGCAGAGCTGGAGTTAGCCATGGATTTGGCTTCTGGATGATACAAGAGAAAATAACCCCCAAGGACTGAACATCTGTCCACACGGAGCACACGCAATGTTCTAATTCATATTAATGACTAAGAGTTAATATAGAATGAAACTTTTGCTTTACAGGTCACCTAATAAACCCAGCTCCACTGCCAGTCTCAGAGCCATTTCCCATGTCACGAGCTTGGCCGTGCTCTGCGCTGACCCAGCTCTGCTCCTGCCCCGGGGGCCGCGGGGGTCCGGGGCACAGGGACGGCCGGTGACAGGAGCTGCTTCAGGTAATAAAGCAGCAATTGAGATGTCCCACTCAGCAGGTCCTGAGGAGGAAGGTCTCTGCTCAGTTTCAATTTCCCATTTGATTTCAGGTCATTAATTATCACAGGCATTAATTAGTGTGTGCTAGGGCTGCTCTCACACAGGAGGAACTCCATCAGGACCCCAGTGCTGGCTGAGATGGACACAGCAGAACACTCATCCTCATCAGTCCTGCAGGGTGGGTTCCCCCCCTCCCTGTTACCTTTTCTTAGTGAGGAAAACACTCACCTGGTAGTAACAGAGGACTCTCCTTTTCTTTTACTACATTCTTACATTGTATTTCTTGAATTACCTACTCCAGTTAGGCTAGAGCCATTCCTGCCTATTCCATCTCTGCATTTCCTTTTTCTAATAATGGAGAACCCAAAGGAAAAGAAACAGATGCTGAAATCATCACCTGATCCACACCAAATCCAAGTGCAGGCTAAAGACGTTTTCATGGGCCCAAAAACGTGCCCCATCCATCACTCCTGGGGAAAGGACACAGCAGCTAAGGAGGGGCTGAAAGCCAGAGAGGGTAAATAATTGTGACACGGCTGCTCCAGAAGACACCCCCC